TGTGTGTGTGTGTGTGTGTGTGTGTGTGTGTGTGTGTGTGTGTGTGTGTGTGTGTGTGTGTGTGTGTGTGTGTGGCAGCGTGTAAATTAGTCTGTAGACCTTTTCACTGAAATTAGCCACATGAAGAAAGCTTTGTCTCAGACGTCCCTGGAGAAATGAAAAAGACACCAAAGTCCTCATTTGTAAATTTGACTACCTTTAGAACACCTTTTTGATTTACACTCATTAGACACTTAATTAGGTACAATTTGCTGGTACTTTGGTTGAACCCACTGATCATGAGACACAAACAATTAACATATGTTTAACTTCCATCTGTAATGCAGTGGACTCAACAAACCATTGTTGACGGTTAGATACTCAAAATAATTGGACAAACTAGTATAATTTAAAATAAAATTTTGGATTAAAATGCTTTGCAGTCAATGACTGCCTAAAGTCTTGATGCCACGATCATCACCGGGTGCTGAGCTCATTTACAGCAGTCACTGTTTTTTCTCTCTCTGCCTTTAGTTTCGGCTTTAGCAACTGAAAAGCTCTGTTGTGCTGAGAACGAGTGACTGAGCTGAACATTGAAAAATATGTTATTTCTTTGTCTGCACAAACTCTTGGGTTGGTGTTGGAGTGTCCTTTGGGTCATTATCCAATCGTACTGTCTGCTGTCTGATCTGTATTGTTATAAACCTTCGTTTTAATTCATGAAGACATCTGTTGGTTGCAGACTATGACAGTGATACTTGTTGTAAAGGTGTTTTTCCTAATCAGAGAAGTTTGTCCTATCAGACAGGTGCGTCAGTCGGATGGTGAGGCCTTGGCGTCTCATTTTGGATGTGTATTCTTCGAGGTGTCCGCCTGTCAAGACTTCCACTCTGTACAGCAAGTCTTCCACGAGGCAGTGAGGAGGGCGAGGAAAGGCGGTGCCTGTGGCTGCTTGGTCCCCGCCATCTATGCCAGCGAGGACAAAGCACTTCTGGGTGTCCCATCCTTTACTACACCATGTTACAAGGAGCTGCCAGTGCCTGCCAACGCGAAGCTGATCACAGTGAAGACATCCAGAGCTCAGAGCAAACGGAGAGCTTCCACTCTCACCTTACTCAAAGGGTTTAAGATATTTTGACACATTCTACTGCATGTCCTGTGATACTGTAAGAGAGTTGTAGGTCCTTATGTAGACAGGCTTCTGAAGCAGCAAGAGCAGCTCCACCCTACAGACATTTGGCAGGTTCAATGAAAAAGCCTGAGCAATCTTAACGGAGGCTTTTCTTAATATGTTGATTTTATGTTGAGGTTTTACACTGAAAAAACGGCCATGTTGGATTTACTTGCACACAACTGCTTTGCCTTGGCAGAAATTTAAACAACTGAGATAAATCAACACAACGTATTCATGTTCAGTAAACCTGTGCATTTTGTGTTGATAAAACGCAAGCGAAACATGTTCAGATGGAGTAAGTTGAGCTCTTGGAATATTTTAATCCTTCACAATTTTGTCATTTTATTTCAACACTATTCAATAACTTTTACCACAGTACTACTTGGTCACTTAAATACTACATGGTGTCTTCATATTACATAATGTTCAACAAAGTCTGGTTAACATAAAAAAATGAATGAATCTACAACAACTACCATCCTCCTATCTTGGTTGCAGGGGGGCATAACCCTGAAGTGATTGGTTTCCAGGGTGTACACCGCCTCTTACCCTGTCTATCAAATAGAGACAAACAACCACTTGCACTCACAGGTAACTTAGAATCGCCAATTAACCTAACTCTAATGACTGCATGACTTTTAACGGTGGGAAGAAACTAGAATACCCAGAGAAAAACCACTGCAAGCTAGCCAAACTGTGGATTTGAACTCAGGACCTTCTTGCTGTGAGGCAACAGCACTAACCTCCATGCCACCAATCCAGGTATAACAAATGTAGGAAAGCAATGATTTCATGGCTTGATGCAGAATCTTCTGTGCATTTTTGCCCTTGACAGGTTAAACCACAGTAAATAGCGATAGCACACACGTGGTGTGTCTGTAGATATCTACCTCTTATAATTCCAGTGATTTTCCTGCAGTTTGAAATCTCGTGTGATCTTGTGAATTTTGTGAGACCAGCAAATAACCACTCTCACTAGATTGGGAAGGACACTATCTCAGCTGAACTCTTGACACACACATACACTGATACACTCATCCCCCTCCCTTTCCAAACGCCGTCAATGCTTGTTCCCTCCTGGAGAACACGGCGGGTCTGGGCCCAGCGCTGGAAGAATAGCTGCAGGGCAGGATGGCTGCTGTGTTTGCTTGGGACAACTCCTCACCCCCCACCCACCCCTGTTGCTGGTCACGTGCTCCATAATGTTGTGCTGTGGACATTTATGTGCTTTCTGTGCAGAGGAGTTTTTTGTTTCCTGTTCTCATGCTGTCCTCCCAGGAGCTCAGCATGAGTAGAGGTCTCTTTTTTTCCCTCTTGGACTTTCCCATTGTTTTGTATTTCAGTGTTTTTCCGTAATACTACCGGTCCCTGACCTGTCTCCCCATGTGATGTCTGTGTTGTGTATGTAAGGTCGGGGGGTCCCCATTTCACTGCAGGGCAACTTGCATGTGACAAATAAAGTTCTGATTGATTGATTGATTGTTTGTATCAGGTCATCTCAACAAGAAGAAATTAAGTTGTTGAATTTCATACAGATCCTACATGATTTCCTAACGTTCAAGATAGAAACATGAAATTTTTGTGCTCAAATTACAAGGTAGACTTTTTTTTTCGGCTTGAGATGGATGCCTTCCTCAAACCACGATCCAAAGGTGTAGCAAGATTTTATTTAATTTAGCTATATTATTGACTTACTTCACTCGAACATGATTTAATCTACTCTCTCTGCATATCATGTAGTTTCTACATGACACAGTTACACTTAACTTTAAAGCATGAGGCAATTGTGTTAAATACACGCAAGATGCTTACATAAATCCAAGAGATGGCCAATCCCTTTTTTTCAGCGTAGTTTGTTTTTCTTATGACCTCCTTAATGTAGTCATACATCCACTGAAATGATGGATAAACCAAACCATTATGTCACTGAGAAAAAGACATGCATGCCTTATAAGCTTGCTCTCCCAATGTGGTGAGCAGCATGAAGGAAATTCTTTCTCTACGCTAAGCAATGTTTTCCCATATCAGAGACATGTATACGAACAATGACAAGTCCGAAAGGCCTTCAAGATCAAAGCAAGTGATTTATTGTGATGCAATAATATCTGAGGCATCAGCACAACACACAAAAGTACTCAAATCTCATTAAGTTTTTCCCATTTCAGTTCACAACACAGGATGGAGGAAGACTAGAACATTTGGTGTCTATTTGTCAGACTCCCTGTGGACAGAACCTTATTGAAAGCAACTTTGCAGCCCATCAAACCAGAAATCATCATCAACACCACAAGAGGAGCCCTAGAAACTGAACCATCAGCAGGGGCAGAGCTGCCTCCTTTAGCCACCCCAAAACTAACAATGGCGAAGCCCATTGGGGGAAGCACACATAAGCAGATCTGAACTTGCATCCAGAAACTGTTTTTATAGAATACCTTTACAGGGAACCATTTTTATACAACTTTTGTTCCCACGTGGACACATTTTATGAGCGCAACCACCACTGTTATGAGCTTTATTAGGAATGAATAAAAAAGAGAAATGTTTTCTGATCATTTGAGGGTTTCATAAAATTTCACTCTGAAGTCATGAAAATAAGAATAATCAGAAAATTATGATCAATTATTAAAGCAAACACTGCCGCTGGTATTCACTGTGACCTCTTCAGCTCATAATCTTCACTTCATCTGGAGAGTCGAGCTCAGCAGCTGTTATTTTCTCTTTCCTCTCTTCCTCCTGTTTCTCTTCCACCGCAGGATCTGGGTACAGGCAGGAGGTGTTGCCATCTTTCCATGTGACCACAATGTTTCCTGCATTGCTCTGCTCGTTTGTGTCACTGTTGGACATGTGAGGCTTGTTTCCCTGCAGTGGCATGTCTGATGCTGGGTGTGTGCTGTTTTCTTTGAGCAGCTCCTGATCTTCATTTTTCTGAAGCAGAGATGTTGCAGCCTTGTACTCTGCTATCTTCTTCCTGCTCCTGTTTGAGTTAGTACAGAAACCTTTAATATAATATACAGTATGTTCGCTCTCAAAAAAATAGCAGTCAAACAACTTCGGGTCATACTTATTTGCCATGGCTCCCATTCCCAGGAGAAGAAAACCAACAAGAAGGCAGACAAAGGCCAGTCCGAGCAGTACAAATGTCCATGTGGTTGCTGCAACACGAGGATAATTAAAACCTGAAAACCTCCCTGCCCTCTTTCAAAATCATATGCACACTGCAGAATCAGTAACACACACACACACACAAGAGTTAAATAAGGGCTTGTCAGTATTTCCCAACTTTTTATTTTTGATAATCTGTAGAATATTAGCCACAAAACAAATGCGTATCTACAGATGTGAGATGTTTCCCTGATTAGAACATGTAAAAATTTGACATAACAGTATTTTCTACATGACAGCATTACAACATAACAACACTAACCTTTTAGTCAGCGAATTTCTCTGGATTTTTGAATGCTCGCTTTCTTACTAAAATGTGTGGCATCAACGTTTTTGCCAAATGTGTAAATTAACAGCATTTTGTCCGAGTTGTTCACAGCTACTCCCCCTGACAGCCTAATGAGTAATGAAAATGAACCAGTGCCAAGACCCTTGTGGTCTGGTTCACCAGCATGAAGCTGAGAAACTGCTGAGCAGAATTCTTGCTCTGAGCTTTATCATTTAGCTTCCCCCCCCCGACAAGTTTCCGTTTTCTATATGGAAAAGCTTTCAGCATGTGGCAAAGTGGCTGGGACAGAATTCATTTGCCATTTGTCACTTGCATATATTGTTATTTTGTGTTCTGATATCTTATAGTCTATCATAATGCTTTAATGTAGTGATGGGTCCAGCAACACTGACGCACCGACGCATGTCTCAAGCTCACAGAGTGAAACCTGTATCGGTGCGTGCGTCGCTTTAAGAAAAAGTCACGTGATCGATACAGCTGTGTTTAAAAGATGCCGAATTTTTCTGAATAAAAACTTATAATAAACTCTGAATCAATTACATTTAAATGGGTAATATTACAGTCACAATACTGTCATTTTAATTTTCACTTAATGTCATTCACAATATATTTTAAAGATGTCTGCAATAGTTGCAATGTAAAAGATATAAAATGATTCCATGGAAAGTACAATAGCTTACAGTGTGTACAAGTATGACTAGGTCATTGAATCAGTGTCTGTTGAGTCTCAAGTAAGGTGCCTGCAATGATATTTAAGGTCCAGCAGGTGTCGGTATGGAGCAAAACAGCAACACTGTGTCGACACAGATACAGTTTGGGGAATGTGCTGAAAGGCTTCACGAGGCCTCATCTACCCATCACTACTTTAATGTAAACACAGCACATGCAACCTTGGCTCTACATACTATCCCGGGTCGGTTTGTGGTAGCATTGGTTATATTCATTTCATCTTAAAGCTAAATGTCACTTCATCATTAATTGATTTGAATCTTTCATTTGTTTATGTAGCTTGGTTATACTTACCATTGTGTGTTCCTTTGAGCAGGTCCTATGTGTAAAACAGTACTTCCTGATTTTATAGGATATGATGTCACTGATTATGTCAATTGGGTGCAACCAAATGAAGGGGTGTTTCTTTTGTGTAAAATTGTTTATTTCATTTAAAATAATCTCACGAGTCAGATTAAGTGAAGAGACTGACTTTTCAAACTGTTTAGTTGGGTGAATGAGTTAAGTGGAAAAATGACTTTATTCCTGTTTCTTTGTCTAGACTGTGTTACTTAGTCTACCCTGTTTTCCCAATGGTAGAGGTTAATGAGATCCAGGTGTGAGTAGAATTCTGTATAAAGCAGGTGAGATTTTGACAGGTTCTTATGTTTTTGTGAAACAATTGTTAAAAGGCGACGCCAGAAAATAAAGAACACTTAAAGGAAACTTGAACAGTCTGCAGATGCTGTCTTCCTATCACCTCTCATGCTGCTTATGTTATGCTACTTCACACAGCATACTATGTCTCAGGAAAAAAAAATATTGCGGACTATCCAAATGACCAAGTATTTCATGTTACACATCCATTTGGATCAAGTATTCTAGCAGGAGCAGCACTTACGGTCCTCTGTGCGGTAGAACCAACGTAGATACTCTCTTTGTTCCTTTGTCATAGCTGTCAGCTCTCCTGTTTGCGCTTCATCCTCGTACGTCAAATCGTCAGAAGCTCTCCGATGTCCTTAAGAGGACACACAGACAGACCCCACAGAAGCTTTGATTGTCAAACACAAATGTAGCAAACTGAGGATTTCAGTATCAGCTCTTAAATTTGTCTCTGTACCAGTAATGATGAAGTGGCAGGAGAGCAGGTCCTCTACTGCCAAGTATGCATGCAGAGTATCACTGGGCAAGATACTAACCCCAAGTTGCTCTCGGATGCATCCATCGCATTATAAATGTGTACACATGTTAGGAAGCACTAAAAAGCTTAGAAGAAAAGTGCTTGCGTGATTGGGTGAATTTGGCATGTTGGGCGCTTTCTGTGCTCTGGGAGAGTAGAAAAGCGCTATACAAGAATTAGTCCGTTTACCATTTACATGTGCTGTTCATTAAACATACTCTTCTGAATGTAATATATTTTGAGTTCCTTAGTGATAAACTGTAAAGATTTTGTTGGCCAAAGATTCAGGTCACTGTGACCTGACCTCCTCAAAGCACTTTCTAACACAAGTCTCATCCACACGATCACACACACACATTCATGCAGCTCTTATCTATGCACTTTGATCTAACACTCACACTCCAGTGGATATATCAGGACAACTTGGGATTCTGTATCGTGCCCAAGGATACTTTGACACATACAAAGTACGTTATGTGGATCCAGCTTTCTAACTGCTAGCTGACTCACAGTCTCTCATGACAAGAATGTGCTGCAATGAGTTTTCTTTGCTTTTCTATCTTTACTGCAATCAAAAAACACAGGTCACTAATAAGCATAATAGTATGGACAAGTTTGATTTAGACAAGATTAGTGAAAGAAATTCACTGACGTTTAAATGAGCTCCACCTTTTTCAGCTGAAGAATTAAAGTGATAAATGAACACTTTAATAGAGTACTTAATATTAACTACTTTTTGACTACTTCAATATATTTTCATGAAATCACATTATTGCACTTTCACTTTAAATTTGTCCGAGTTCCTTTTCTACTTATATGTGAACGTGTTGCGTATTGTTAAAGCAGGATTTACGGTGTGTCCGCGTACATGTTTTCAGTCGAATGGTGGGGGTTCCACCCACCCTAGATACATTCCCGTGCAGTCATCCAATATCCTGACTGCATGTTGTTGGAAGCGTATGACATAAGCATCTGCCAAATGTAGACTGGTTAATAAGTGAGTCAGAATAGAGGAAAGGGTGATAGCAGAGTTCACTAAACTACAAAAGTCCAACATAAAGAAGCACAGTGGCTGCGGTGGACATTTTCATTGTTTTTAACTCTCTTTGTGTGTCAGAACTTCTCTGCTGCCGGCTGATAGACCAAAATCTAAAAGAGCAACAGTGGCCTGCAGACCAGCTGTTACACACACTTTGTACACTGCCTCCATCTGACAACAGAGGCAGACTGCAGGCCTACAGGCAGGCCCTGGACTAAAGTGGGCAGTGAACCCGCTGTCTTTGGTGGACCATAAATCCTGCTTCAGTGTGAAAAGTGTGCAAAGAACAGAAAAGCTGCTTTCTGTTCAATAACTACTGAGTCTTACTGAATCTTTCCTGGCAGATGTCCCCCTGATCCAGAGATCTCCACTTTGGGTGTTTGCTGTGTTGTACGAGGATCGCATGCTGGCCATTGTGTGACAGAAGCATTGATAGCTTTCTACTGATCAGTTGGTCCCGGTCACAGTCCCATATTAACCAAGCAGCATCCACCTCGGGTTCATGGCAATCCTGGGTGTGCACTGGCCCTTCGTGCTGGGCTGACAGACACCTAGATGATGCGACACACATCAGCATGTCCTGACTGATCCAGATCCACTGCTGATATTCAGAGTCTAAGTTGCATGTCTTCAATTGGACTTCACCTGTATCTGCTGAATCTTCCAGACACAGGTTGTGCTGGGTGTTGTGGATCATGAATGCTCTTGCCCCTGCAGGTGTTGACAGTATAACAACGTTAGATATAGACCACTTAAAAAATGATATTTTGCATGGTTGGAGCTTAACAAGGTTCCAAGTAGAGCTTCAACATGGAACAAGACAAAATGCGAGTGAGACAAAACATTTTTTTGAGCATGCAATTGATTTAAAATAACGCTTAAACTGAAACAGGCTGTTTTACAGCTGATCAAAAGTTTAGGACCACATGCCTTTAAAAGGCCATATCTGTATAAAAATGTCAATTCATTGTCATTTTCTGTCAGGTAGTCAAACTGTCATGATGTTCTGACGGCAAAGGCAAAAAAAACCTTTCCCTTTTTGAATGTGGTTGGGTTGTTGAACTGCATAAGTCTCTCACAGCACGCCATCGCTGCTGAGGTGGGACACAGTAAGAAAGTCATTTGGAATTTCTTAGATGATCCTGAGGGTTATGGAACAAAAAAATCAAGTGGTAGACCCAAAGAAATGTCACAAGCACTGAACCAGAGGATCCAACTGGCTGTCCGTCAAGACACTGGACAATCCTTGACCCAAATTAAGGCTTTTACTGGTGCCGACCGCAATCGCATAACCATCAGACGACATCTGAGAGTGAAGGGCTTTAAAAACAAAAAACGTCTTCAAACTAAAACGTCTCTGTTTTGCACTTTGCAAGAGACCACCAAACATGGGACATTGAAAGGTGGAAGAAAGTTTTACTCTGATGAGAAAAAAATTAAACCTCGATGGTGCTGATGGTTTCCAATGTTACTGACATGACAAGCAGATCCCACCTGAGATGTTTTCAAATTTACAAAAATGGACAACAGTTCCAGACAGTAGATGCCCTTCATGCAGTTGTCTTCAGCTATGGGTGGCTGTAGCTCAGGTGGCAGAGCAGGTCAGCCACTAATCA